AAAAACAAAACTTAAGAACATTCATATATGATGTTGGGGCAGGTTAACTTTCAAAAGTTAACCACAAGAAGTAAAAGCCATAAAATCTCTGGGTTGCGGCAAAAGCTGTTCTAAGAGGGAATTATATAGCAATTCAAGCCTATCTCAAGAAACAAGGAAAAAAATCAGAACAGTCTAATCTTACAGCTAAAGGAACTAGAAAAAACAAACAAAGCCCAAGGTGAGCAGAAGAAAGGAAATAGTAAAGATCAGAGCAGAAATAAAAGATGGAGAGACTAAGAGAACAATAAAAAAATCAGTGAAATCAAGAGTAAGTTCTTGATTTATTTATCTTGAAAAGATAAATAAAATTGACAAACCCTTCGCTAGACTCATCAAGAAAAAATGGGACGCAAATAGGTAAATTCAGAAATGAAAGAAAAGTAACAACTGATACCACAGAAATACAAATGATTGTAAGAGAATACTATGAAAAATTATATGCCAACAAACTGGACAACCTAGCATAAATGGATAAGTTCCTAGAAACGTACAATCTTCCAAAACTGAATTGGAAGAAAGAGAAAATCTGAATAAACCAATTACAAGAAACAAAATTGAATCAGTAATCAAAAAACTACCAAAAAAATGGAGCAGCTGGGTGGCTCAGTCAGTTGAGCATTCGACTCTTGATTTCAGCTCAGGTCATGATCTGATGAGATTGAGCCTCATAGTGGGCTCCACGCTCAGTGGGGAGACTGCTTGAAGATTCTCTCCCTCTGCACCACCCCCCCTTGTGTGCACATGTTCTCTCTCTCTCTCTAAAATAAATCTTGGCAAAGGAAACAAAAGCAAAAATGAACTATTGGGACTTCAACAGGATAAAAAGCTTTTCCACAGCAAAGGAAACAGTCGACAAAACTAAAAGACAGCCTATGGAATGGGAAAAGATATTTGAAATGATGTAACAGATAAGGGGCTGGTATCCAAAATCTATCAAGAACTCATCAAACTCAACACCCCCAAACAAAAAATCCATCCAAGAAATGGGCAGAAGGCATGAACAGACACGTCTCCAAAGAAGACATACAGATGGCTAACGGACACATGAAAAAATGCTCAACAGCATTCAGCATCAGGGAAATACAAATCAGAACTACAATGACATACCACCTTATAGCTGTCAGAATCGCTAAGATTAACAACTCAGGAAGCAACAGGTTGTTGGTGAGGATGCAGAGAAAGGGGAACCCTCCCCAGAGTGACTGGTGCAGCCACTCTGGAAAACAAGATGAGGTTTCTCAAAAAGTTAAAAATGGAGCTACCCTGTGGCCCAGCAATTGCACTACTAGGTATTTATCCAAAGGATACAAACATAGTGATTCTAAGGGGCACATGCACCCCAGTGTTTATAGCAGCAATGTCCACAATAGTCTAACTATGGAAAGAGCCCAGATATCCATTGATGGATGAATGGATAAAGATGTGTGTACATGTGTACACACACGCACACACACACACACAATGGAATATTATTCAGCCATCAAACAGAATGAAATCTTGCCATTTGCAAGTCTGTTTCTACTTCTATTACTCTAATGAATACCTTTAAAGAGAATAATTATTATGGACATGTTCTGACACTTTCTTATTATTTATAAAACATGTTACTCTCTGAATTTACTTAGTTCTTTCATTGTTTCCTGGTCTTCGTTTGCCACACTAGGATGTAAACATTATGAGAGCAGAACATTGCCCATCTTTTTCATACTGTAATCGCATTACTCAGTTGGTGCCAGATTTTAAAAAGATGTAGTATAGAAAGATTTGTTAAGCGAATGGAAAATCTGTTTTTAACATTATTGTCAATGTTTAATGACAGGCACATAGATCATAAATTATTGCTTTCAAGATAAAGTTGGAATTGGCAGTTATTCCCTTCAAGTGAATATTTTGCTTTTTTTCAAATGTAGAGCAATAAAGCTAATTTGACAGTATCTTTGCCACTTAATTGTTTTAAGATTTATTTTTATTTATTAGCATGAGCAAGAGGAAGGGCAGAGGCAGAGGGACAAGCAGACTTCCCACTGAGTGGGGAGCCCGATGCGGGGCTCGATCCCAGGACCCTGAAATCATGACCTGAGCCGAAGGCAGACGCTTTACCAACTGAGCCACCCAGGTGCCCCGTCACTTAATTTTATTTCCAGAATACAGATTTGTTTTTGGCATTGAAGGCTTTACTACCACCATAATGTGTTAAATAATTCTTGTAAGTTAGCTTTCAGGAACAAATAAGCAAAGTATAGTAGAATTTCAGTCCATTATTCTTTTTAAAGGTATTCATTAGAGTAATAGAAATAGAAAGAGACTTGCTTTTCTAGGTGATTCCTAGAAAATTTTATTTACTTATTTTAAGTAATCTCTACCCACAATTTGGGCCTTGAACTCACAACCCCAAGATCAGGAGTTGCATGACCCCCCCAACTGAGCCAACCAGATGCACCTCTAGCTGATTTTTTAAAATGTGATTTAATACGCTAACACTGAACTATCAGAAAAAGAAAACAATGCCATCTACAATAGCAAATAAATAAAATACTTAGGAATAAATTTAAGCAAGGAGGTGAAAGATTTGTACACTGAAAATTACAAGACATTGATGAGAGAAATTGAAGAAGACACAGAAAAATGGAAAGGTACCCCATGTTCATGGATCAGAAGAATTAATATTGTTAATATGTTCATACTACCCAAAACCCTCTACAGATTCAATGCAATACCTGTCAAAGTTCCAATGACATTTTCCACAGAAATAGAAAAAAAAAATTCCTAAAAGTTGGGTGGAACAGCAAAAGCTACTGAATAGCCAAAACAGTCCTTAGAAAGAAGAAGCCAGGCATCACAATTCCTGATTTCATATTTGAATGCAAAGCTATAGTAATCAAAACAGTATGGTACTGGTTTAAAAATAGACACGTAGGCCAATGGGACAGAATCAAGACCCCAGGAATAAAGCCATACATATATGATTAACTAATATGTGATGGGGTGCCAAGAAGACTCAATGGAGAAAGGATAGTCTCTTCAATAAGTGGTGCTGGGAAAACTGGATAACCACATGCAGAATGAAAGTGGACTCCTTATCTTACATCACTCAAAAATTAACTTGAAATGGTTTAAAGATTTAAATGTAAGACCTGAACCTGTAAAACTACTAGAAGAAAACATGGGGGGAAAGCCCCTTGACGTTAGTTTTGACAGTGATTTTTTGGGTATGGCACAAAAAGCACAAGCAACAAAAGCAAAAAGAAACAAGTGAGAGTACATCAAACCCCAAAGCTTCTGCATAGCCAAAAGAAAAGAAAAAAGAAAAAGAAAAAACTATCAGCAAAATGAAAAAGCAACTTACAGAATGGGAGAAAATATTTGCAAACCACCTATCTGATAAGTGGTTAATATCCAAAATATGTAAGGAATCCATATAACTCAATAACAGCAAAAAATCCAATTAAAAAATGGACAGAAGGGCACCTGGGTGGCTCAGGTGGTTAAGCGTCTGCCTTCAGCTCAGGTCATGATCCCAGGGTCGTGGGATTGAGTCCCGCATAGGACTTCCTGCTCAGGGGGGGTCTGCTTCTCCCTCTATTCCTCCCCCCTGCTCGTGATCTCTGTCTCTCTCATGCTCTCTCTCTCTCTCTGAAATAAATAAATAAAACCTTTAAAAAAATGGACAAAAGACTTGAGTAGACATTTTTCCAAAGAGAACATACAAATGACCAACAGGTACATGCAAAGATATTCAACATCTCTAATCAGGAAGATGCAAATCAAAACCATAATGAGTTATCACCTCACAACTGTTGGCTATTATCAAAAAGACAAGAGACAAGCATTGGAAAGGCTGTAGACAAAAGGTAACCATTGTGCACTGTTAGGGGAATATAATTTGATTGCTGTGGCTAGTACTTCCAGTACTTCGTTGAACAGAAGTGGGAAGAGTGAGCATCTTTGTCTTGTTCCTGATCTTAGATGAAAAGCTCTCAGTTTTTTATCATTGAGTATGATGTTAGCTGTAGGTTTTTTGTATTTGGGCTTTATTAGTATATTGAGGTATGTTCCCTCTAAACTCACTTTTTTGAGAGGTTTGTTATGAATGGATGTTGAATTCTATCAAATGCTTTTTCTGCATCTATTGTGCACTGTTGGTGGGAATGTAAATTGGTACAGCTGCTGTGGAAACAGTATGGAGGTTCCTCAAAAAATTAAGAGTAGAAAGATCATATATCCATTAATTCCATTCCTGGGTATTTACCCAAAGAAAATGAAAACACTAATTTGAAAAGTACATGCACCCCTATGTTTACTGCAGCATTATTTATAATAGCCAAGATATAGAAGCAACCTAAGTGTCCATTGCTAATCAAATGGATAAGGAAGATGTGATATATACACACAATAGAATATTACACAGCCATAAAAAATAATGAGATCATGCCATTTATGACAACATGGTTAGATCCAGAGGGTATTATGCTAAGTGAAATAAGTCAGACTGGGAAAGACAAATACTGTATGATTCCATTCATATGTGGAATCTAAAAAAAAAATGAATTAACAAACAAGAAGCAGAATCAGAGCTATAAATACAAAGAACAAACTGATTGTTGCCAGAGGGATGAGGATGGGGGAATGGGCAAAACGGGTGAAGGGGAGTGGGAGATACAGGCTTCCAGTTATGGAATGAGTAAGTCACAGGAATAAAAGGCACAGCATATAGTCAATGATACTGTAATAGTGTTGTATGTGGTGAGCATAACAGTGTATAAACCTGTCAAATCACTGTGTTATACATCTGAAACTAATGTAACAATGTATGTCAGCTATACTCAAATAAGGAAAAAAGTGAAACGTCTTCCTTTGATTATTTTGAGGTTCTTGAATTCTGATGGCAGTCCATTCAACAAAGTTATTGTTGGTGATGGGGAAAGACTTACTAACCCAGATTTTCCTTATCTTCCTAGGCGGCGATCATTAGTAGGGTTCAGTGTAGGATTGTGGCTTTAGATCTGCGAGGTCATGGTGAGTGATGTTCTTAATTAGTCATTGACTCAATGATATATTTGCCAACCCCTTTGAATAGTGTTATTACAAATTTCAGTGTGGTCACAAAATAACCTGGCCTGTTCCATTTGGGCTCTTTGAGGGAAGTCTTAGTTTCTATAAAAGATATTTTATAAATATACACACACATATATGTGTTGTTGTTTAGCTTAAAAAAAAATGTCCTTTAATGTAGCCAAATTCTGATGCAGTGATGTGTAAGGAATATGGATGGATCTTTGCTAGGGTACTGGAATTATATCCTCCTTAGGGTGGCCAACTATAAAGATGGATCTGTAACATAGAAAATCCTTGCTAAGTCCATCATACACAATTATAAAGTCTGAATTTCATTCCCCAAAATGAGATTTTTGAAAGAGAATACTCTTGCTTTTATAATTCCTATCATTGAGAATTTTATTTTTTAAATATTTTCTTTTTAGGTGAAACAAAAGTCAAGAATTCTGAAGACCTGTCTGCAGAAACAATGGCAAAGTAAGTAACATAATATTGTTTATACATCACCTGGCTTCCATTACTGTTATAAATAGTAGTATAACTATTACTCTCCTGGTGAGATTGTTGGACAAAAATTAACATAGAGAATATTTTACTTCTGTTGTCTTTCCTCTGTATTTGGTATCTTCTTAGTATTTAAACTTGAAAGAAACCTCCATCTTTCTTGATATATTCAGTGTTATAGTCATCACATAAAGCACTTGAAAATTCTTTGAGTTTGTGTTGCTTTTTGCAAAGTTTTCTTCTATTGACAGAGTTGAATAGAATCTGGATATCTATTGGGAACTTATGCTTAGAAAGTGGTTGTATACAAAAGGCCCTACCCTGTATGATGTTTTTAAGGTATCCTGCCCACGTTCTTTGTCCAGCTTCCTAGTAAGACAAGAACAAGGTATTAAAGAATAATTAATTATACCCTGGACCTCCAAGTACAAGATGGTGGTAGTATATACAATGGCCTCAAACCTGGTCACTCATTAGAATCACCTAAAAAGTGATTAAAATACAGATGATTTGGCCTTATCCCAGACCTGCTGAATTAGTGCTTCTACCAGGGGGATCTGGGCATTTATTTATATTTTGATAAAGCTTTATAAAGAAATCTTATGCAGCCAGTCCTGTGACTGGTGTTTAGGAACCACTGACCTATATTGTAAACAGGATTCTTCTAACTACCCTGCTTTAATACATGGTCTCTGAAGTATTTGACCAACTTGTAGCCAAAAATATCTTGTCTCTTCTTACTTTAGTGTTTTTTTTTTTAAAGATTTTATTTATTTATTTGAGAGAGAGCGAATGAGAGATAGAGAGCACAAGAGGAAAGAGGGTCAGAGGGAGAAGCAGACTCCCTGCCAAGCAGGGAGCCCGATGTGGGACTCGATCCCGGGACTCCAGGATCATGACCTGAGCCGAACGCAGTCGCTTAACCAACTGAGCCACCCAGGCGCCCTACTTTAGTGTTTTAATCCAAGAGTAAATTGTGTTTCCTTCAGAACTCAAACTCATGTGGCCATAGGTTTAATGTTATAGTAGGTGCTATTTGTGTGCTTTCTGTCTGCCAGGCTTTATTAAGTGTAAATTAGGCATTTATTAAGAATAAATAATTTATTGGAACACACAGTTGGTTAAGCATCCAACTGTTGGTTTCGGCTCAGGTTGTGATCTCAGAGTCATGAGATCAAGTCCCATGTCAGGCTCCATGCTTTGGGGGGAGTCTACTTGAGATTCTCTCTCTCTCCCCACTGCACTCTCTCTCTAAATAAAGAAATAAATCTTTTTTTAAAAAAGAATAAATTATTTAAGTTATTTATTTTAATTATCTACATTATTCTGTAGTCCAGATATTATCTTGGTTTTTTTTTAAGATTTTATTTATTTAATTGAGAGAATGAGAGAGAGAGAGAGAGAGCATGAGAGGGGGGAGGGTCAGAGGGAGAAGCAGACTCCCTGCTGAGCAGGGAGCCCGATGCGGGACTCGATCCCTGGACTCCAGGATCATGACCTGAGCCGAAGGCAGTCGCTTAACCAACTGAGCCACCCAGGCGTCCCCAGATATTATTTAAAAAAAAACAAACAAAACAGTGAGGACACTAACTCATAGATTAAAGAACGAACTGTATGAGGCACACAGTTAATAGAGCAGAATTGTGATCATTCAACTATAGTGCTTGGCAGAGAGAGAGAGAGAGAGAGAAATAACAATGTATGATACCATTCCATTCAATGAACGTATTCCTGAGAAACCATGAAAAGGGAGCTAAAAATCTGCTCTCTGAGTTATTCCTAATGCCTTTGTAATGTGAGAACAATAAAGCCCCAAATAATCAAGTATATTGGTGATACCTCTAGAAAGATTTGTGAACAATTTTTAAGGATTTAAAGGGTTTCCTGACTGTTGACAAATCCATCATCTAAGTGGCCAGGCTGCTAAAGAGTTCTGATAGCTTGGATGACGTTCTATAGAAAAATGGAGAATTAATTGAGGACCTTAACGATACATTGCCTAATATTGTATCAGTCTGGGACAATCAGGAAAAAAAGACATTAGAATTTGAACAGGGCAAGTTTAATATAAAGATCTATTAACTATAATAGGGGATTGAAGTAATGAAGAATTGCTAGTAAGAAGTAGAGAGAACATTAAAGAATGTATGTTTAATTAACTTGATTGTGAGAGTCATTTCACAATGTATCCATATATCAAATCATCACATTGTATATTTTATATATATTACAATTTTACTTATCAGTTATACCTCATTAAAACTAGAAAAATTTTCAAAAAAGAAAGGAAGAGGGAGGAGGAGCAAGATGACAGAGAAGTAGGAGACCTAAATTTCGTCTGGTCCCAGGAATTCAGCTAGATAGGGATCAAACCATTCTGAACACCTACAAACTCAACAGGAGATCGAAGAAAAGAATAGCAGCAACTCTCTGAACAGAAAAGCAACCACTTTCTGGAAGGTAGGACGTGTGGAGAAGTGAATTCGAGGTGATATACAGGAAGATAGACCGTGGGGGGAGGGAGCCTCATCCGGCTACCAGCAAGTGATAGAGCAGTGGAGCACAAAATTGGAAGTTTTAGAAGTCTGCTCCGCTGAGGGACATCGCTCCAGTGGCTAAGCAGGGGGTGGAACCCTCGTGGGACAGTGTGGTCTCAGGACCCTTGGGGTCACAGAAAGACTGGGGGTGCCTGAGTGCAGCAGAGCTCCCAGGTATTGGAGTGGGGAAGCCGGCTGCAAAGACGGAACCAAGGAGTGGGCTCTCAGCTCGGGGTTGCCATAAACTGATCTGTGGCACAGTCGGGCCACTGCTTTTCCAGCAGGCACCCAACAAGCGGCAGATCCAGGGAGACTCCCCTTCCTCCCCTGGGAGAAGTGGCGCGGGAGTGCACCACAGGGATCTGCTGGGTTTGGAGACTCCAAACAGGGTCGTGTGCCAGAGATAGAAACGCTCGGTCACAGGCCGGGTGAGCACAGAGTGTGGCCGGAGACTGGGGAGACAGGAGTGATTGACTGCTTTTCTCTGGGGGCGCACTGAGGAGTGGGGCCCCGAGTTCTTGGCTCCTCCGGGGCAGAGATTGGGGCCACAATTTTCACTCTCGTCCTCCAAAGCTGTACGGAAACTTGCAGGGAACAAAAGCTCCCGAGAGCAAACCCGAGCAGATTACTTAGCCCAGACGGCAAGGGCAGTGCAATTCCTCCTCGGGCAAAGACACTTGAGAATCACTGCGACAGGCCCTTCCCCCAGAAGATCAGCAAGAATGGCCAGCCAAGACCAAGTTTACCGATCAATGAGAATGGCAGAACTCCAGCACTAGGGGAATACAGCACATAGAATTCATGGCTTTTTTTCCCAGGATTCTTTAGTCTTTCAAACTTAACTTTTTAAAATTTTCTTTTTCTATTTTTTTTGAATTTTTCTTTTTCCCTTTTTTAACCAACATCTTATCAATTCCTTTTTTAAAAATCTTTTTTATTTTTCATTTTTAGAGTCATATTCTATCCCTTCATTGTAGTTAACCTTATTTTTGGTATATATGTAAGTTGTTCTCTCTTTAAAATTTTGGGATACAGTTTCTTCTAATAGACCAAAATATACCCTAAATCTCTAGTATATGGCTTTGTTCTAGTCTCCTGCCTGATCACATTCTCTCCCTTTTTTTTTAATTTCTCTTCTTTCTTTTTTCAACCAACTTCTTATCAATTCCTTTTATAAAATCTTTTATAATTTTCATCTTTACAGTCATATTCCATCCCTTCATCATACTTACCCTTATTTTTGTATATATATAAGTTTTTCTTTCTTTAAAATTTTGGGAGGCAAGTTTCTTCTAACAGACCAGAATACGCCCAAAATCTTGTGTGTGGCACTGATATATTCACCAGCCTGATCATATTTGATCATATCCTTTTTTTTTTCTTTTTCTTTCCCTTTCTTTTCCCCTGGTTTCAGGTCTCTTCTGACTTGTTTAGTGTATATTTTTCTGGGGTTATTACCCTGTTAGCATTTTGTTCTCTTGTTCATCTCTTCTCCTCTGGACAAAAATGACAAGATGGGAAAACTCACCTCAAAAAAAAAGGCAGTACCGATTGCCAGGGACCTAATCAATACGGACATCAGTAAGATGTCAGAACTAGAGTTTAGAATGACGATTATAAAGATACTAGCTGGGCTTGAAAAAAGCATGGAAGATACTAGAGAAACCCTTTCTGGAGAAATAAAAGAACTAAAATCTAACCAATTCGAAATCAAAAAGGCTATTAATAAGGTGCAATCAAAAATGGAGGCTCTAACTGCTAGGATAAATGAGGCAGAAGAGAGAATTAGTGATATAGAAGACCAAATGATGGAGAATAAAGAAGCTGAGAAAAAGAGAGATAAACAACTACTGGATCACGAGGGCAGAATTCGAGAGATAAGTGATACCATAAGATGAAACAATATTAGAATAATTGGGATCCCAGAAGAAGAAGAAAGAGAGAGGGGGGCAGAGGGTATATTGGAGCAAATTATACCAGAGAACTTCCCTAATTTGGGGAAGGAAACAGGTATTAAATTCTAGGAGGCACAGAGAACCCCTCTCAAAATCAATAAAAATAGGTCAACACCCCGACATCTAATAGTAAAACTTACAAGTCTCAGAGACAAAGAGAAAATCCTGAAAGCAGCCCGGGACAAGAGGTCTGTAACCTACAGTAGTAGAAACATTAGCTTGACAACAGACCTATCCACAGAGACCTGGCAGGCCCGAAAGGATCGGCATGATATATTCAGAGCACTATGCCAGAAAAATATGCAGGCAAGAATACTATATCCAACTAGGCTGTTATTGAAAATAGAAGGAGAGATAAAAAGCTTCCAGAACAAACAAAAACTAAAAGAATTTGTGAACACCAAACCAGCCCTACAAGAAATATTGAAAGGGGTCCTCTAAGCAAAGAGAGAGCCTAAAAGTAACATAGACCAGAGAAGAA